CGTGCTAGTACACAAGACCGTTGTCCCCGAGAGAGTAGTTCGGGACGGTCTTGCCACTCCGAAGGGTCGCATGGATGTCGTGATAGTCGAGGCAGTGGCGGTACTGAGTGCGAAACTCATCGATCACCGAGTGGTGGATGGAGGTGACCGAGATGGAAGCGAGATGAATCTGCTCTTGATCGTGGTCAGGACGCTGGGATAAGGCATCTGGGACCCGATTAGTCTCACCCTTGATATGCTCCGTGGTGAAACTAAACTCGGATAGGTCGCGCCACCAGCGAGCCTGTCGAGGAGTGAGCTTCGGTTTTATCAGAAAAGCCTCCACAACATAGTTGTCCATACGCACCGTGAATGGTGCCCTGTGCAGGTAGTGACGCCAGTGCCGAGCGGCATAAACTACTGCGAGAACCTCATGGTTATCAACGGTGTAGTTTATCTCGGTGGGCAGGAGTTGACGAGAGTAGAAGACTATCAGACAATCACTTGAGGGAGACTCGATAATGCCGTCCTCGACAATGGTAGGGGTAGGGGGTGAGAAGCGAGGGATACGAGGATGAGAGGAATCAGGAGAGGAGGGAAAAATCTAAGAAAGCACTGCTCCTATAGCAAAGTCTGACGCATTCGTGGTAAGGATAAAAGGGCCATAAAAATCGGGTAGGTGAAGAACCGGTGCACATGTCACTGCCTTCTTGAGGGTGTGGAAAGCGTCCTCGTGGAGGGGTGTCCAAGCCCATGGCGGGGTTCTTCCGGAGGAGGGTGGAGGTAAGGACTTAGGAATACCTAGCGTATCCCTGGATGAAATTACTATAGTAGCTAGTAAGGCCTAGGAAGCTGCAAAGCTTCTTGACGGATATGGGCACGGGCCACTCCGCAATAGCAGTGATCTTCGCGCCGTCCATGTGGAGACCCTGGTCAGACACGTAGTGTCCTAAGAAATTCACTTTGTGTTGGGCAAAGCGGCACTTGCTCAGCTTGGCATAGAAGTCATGTCTGCGCAAGCGGTCAAGGACGTCGCGGAAGTGTCTGAGGTGCTCCTCAAGGGTACGACTGTAGACCAGGATATCGTCGAGGTAAACGAGAACGTACTGCTCCAGGATGTCCATGAAGATGTCGTTCATCGCCCTCTAGAAGGTAGCGGGTGCGTTGGTGAGGCCGAATGGCATCACCGTAAACTCGTAGTGGCCGAAGCGCAATCAGAACGCTGTCTTCGGCTGGGCTGCTGCAGCGACGCGGATCTGATGGTAACCACTACGAAGATCAATCTTCGTAAAGAAGTGGTTGCCTGCTAGGCGGTTGAACAACTCATCGGAACGAGGTATGGGGTAGCTGTTCTTAACCGTGTAGCGGTTGAGACCGCGATAGTCGATGCAGAGGTGGAGACTTTCATCCGCTTTGCGAGCAAAGAGGACGGGTGCACCCCACGGGGAGTTGCTGAGTTTAATGAAACCGGGTTTAAGGAGCTCCTCAAGCTGACGCCTGAGATCGGTGGCCTCGGGGATCGAGAGTCTGTAGAGTGCTTGGTGGTGAAGACGATAGTCAGGCACAAGCTGGATGGAGTGCTTGACGCCGTACATCGGTGGGATGCCGGCATATGAGAACGACGATGGGAAAACGTCGTGGTACTCTCGAATGAGGTCACGAACTGCGGGCTCCAAGTCGGCCGTATAGCGTGCGAGTTCCTCAGCGTCAGCGTCGGCGCGCTACGACGGGGTGGACTCGACAGACGGCGGAGGATGGGAAGTAGAGATTTGGAGCCATGGAGATAGAAGGAGGATCTAGCTCCAGAGGGATGAGCTCGGCTTCGGGACACGGCGGATCATAGTGAACATTTTATTCGTTAAAATAATATATTATTTTTTGTACTATTTATGAACGAATTGATTAAGCAGTGAAGGATGTGTATGACATAGAAATGAAGTTCATATGTACGACATAGAAATATAAGGAATTCTGAGCACACCCTTAACACGTCCAAGCATGCACTTCATACCTATGTGAAGGATGTATACGACATAGAAATGTAAGGTACTCCAAGCACACCCTTAATACACTCCGACACACCGTTCGTTCCGATATGAAGGATTTTTTTGAGCAGTAACCATTTAATTTGGCAACTAACCATGAATACTTTTCCCAAAGATACACCTTGCACACCCCTGCCCTTATTTGGCAACGCTCTTCCATGCAGTGCCACGTTCGTGGCTCCTTTTTTGTATATATTAACTAAGTCTTGTGCGTGGGATACGTCCACCGACATCGAAATCGAAGCCCTGAGCAAGCATCCAATTTTGATGTATATTAAGTTTCGAGGGACCTAGTCCATATGTGGTCATCATTGTGCATAGTGAGGAGCAAAGGGTCTGCCAGTGGCCCAAAGTTGTGAGTCGCTTGTCGTATTGAACGGTCAATCGGATACATCCGTCGCACACCCAACTGCCTGCACACAACATCATGCATGGTTCTTATGAGACAAGGAACCGCCTCATTGACGGGTGGCAGATACATCCATTCGCTAAACATGCATGAATGCATACATAGAGACAGATATATAGACAAAAGGAGGCGGGTAACCATTTAATTTAGGAAATTGTATTGAGCACTGCAAGTGAAACATTACGCATTGCCTGTGGGCCAGATACATCCTGCACACACAACTGAATTCGTTGAGTTCTCGATGAAACCAAATATATGAGAGAGAGAGAGAGAGAGAGAGAGAGAGAGAGA